GGGTTCTGAAAAACAGGAATGAGGAAATCCCAGCTTTAAGTGACCTGAACTATAGTGGAGGTGGACGCCACCTGTGTCCTTCGGCTCACGAAAAGTCGTTCTTTTAAACTACCCCCATTCCTAATAACTAAGCAGTCGAGGAATGGCAATGTACCATTGCAAGTTTCCAATTCTTTCGTTAGGTCCATAGGCTCATTAAGCTAGTTGGTCTAGAGACTCATTTTTCTTATCTGGTTTGATGTTCACAAACGTAATCCTCGGAATGGGAAATGGATCGAATATTGTCACGAAGCTTTAAAAGATTTCCACTAACCACTGCGATATCCCGTCTTGTGGTAAGTAGTCAATTTCCGTGAAGCTTTGTTCGGAGAGTTACAAGAGTGTTTGGAATGATAGTTTACTTCTGACCGAAAGGGTTGTTTTTTATTCCATGAAGCTCTCCCAGCCAATTCTTCAACCGTGTCACGCATCCATTTTAGTGTTAACGGTATGAGAATGATTATGTGAAGCTGAGATCACTGGCTAAACATTGACCCGGAGCACGATCAGCCCGCAGTTATGTTCAATTGTGTGCTTGGCAGTAAGGTGCTCAAAACAATATTATTTTTCTGATAACAATCGATCGGCATGGACGCAGTTTGATGTCTTTGTCATTGGCTATACAATCGGTATACTTAAAAAGTTTCGTCTGGCATGGCTTGTCGAAGACCTTAAACATGGACAGTGATTCTCAGATTCACCCCTTCCTAGTTTGCATGAAACGACATTATGCATCTGCTCTCAGCATCGTTCCACTCCCAGTAAAATGGACAAGCGGAGCGCTTTGTTGATGCGTTTAAGTGGGCACTACTCAAGGTGTTGCAAAGGAAACCACACCAAGAGTACTAGTTTTCTCCCTGCTTCTGTACCGAGTAACCCTTACCCCCAGGTGGCATGCTAGTTTTCATCGTCGGAAGTGCAATGAGAAGAAAACTCCGTGTTCCGATTTCATTGCTACTTCTTAAGTGTATGTTTTTACGACGCAGAAGGCAAGTACGTCAATTTAACCGGAGACACAGTGTCTTGGTCAGAGGCTATCACATGGGAAGACTTGCCCAACCATGAACAGTCACATTCTGTAAAGTTGTAATGAATGTTTTGACTTGAACTGTGTACGTCAATCAGCATTCAGGTATGTGTAAATGAACGACCGCTACCACTGGATATTCTAATGAACATGCTCAATATACATCCTGGAACACAGCAAGCATCAGACGCACTTTGCCACAACGGTTGTAGTGGCATTGAACTTGCGGCTAATCGATGGAGTATTCGGTTAAGGAAATCCTTTTCCCGAATGCTGGATCCAAGAAAGAAGTACATCAAATTATGTGGATGGAGTGCTTAGAGTGACCGCTTATTGGTTTCGTTCAGGCCTAATAGATACATGTGCTATAAGGTAGCTCCGCGATAGACTTCTGGATGTGGCTTAGGCAGCTAAACACTGAAAGTAGTTGCTCAAGAATACAACACAATAGCTTATATCTGTTATCGCGCGCTCAGCAGTGCAACCAAAGACATTTTAATGCAGCGTAACGTATAAACTGCTGTCAACGTTCTAATGTGAAAATTAGTAACTGTGAGTGCGAGAAATCGGAAGGTAAAGATACTCGCTTGGATTTTGAACTAAGATTTCGACTCACTGAACATTTAGATCTATGTGTTTTATAAAAATAAAGCTTATTATCGTGCCTCTTTTGTCGTTTGGGCAAAATCTTGATTTCGAACTTACTAGTTCCCCACTTCTGTACTTCACCATTTCCATTGGTCAATTGACCAATATCCTAAAAGAAAATAATGGGGAATCGGTCTAGTACGTTGTATTGTGTCATGTGGTGTCCAACAAGTCAAGTAATTAACTATCTGTGTGGCATACACTAGGCTAGCATAGCATGCCAGAAATATTAGAAAACTCCAAACACACGCTACAAGACTGGAACACGCTTCCTTGTTGAACCGGAATTCACAGCAGCATAGTAACTGTATTGTCAACCGATCACAACAACTCTGATTGGACCAACTCTATTTCACACATTATTTGCCTTCATGAGACTGTGGGTCTAGAGATGCGCTTCATAACCTCCATCTGCTACTGTTTACACTAACCATTATTCCCTTCCGTTCCCTTTCTCTCGAATCTTCTTTTCATTTTGGTTGTTTTCACTCCTCATTTCACTAATTTGCTCGCATTTTTCTTATTTTCATCGTGACTTGGTTACGTTAACTGAAAACACCACACTCCGACACCCGTAGCACAAATGCCAGTTGAATGTAACCCAAATCTAAATCCATGGCGTCACATAAGTTTTCTTACAAATGCCTCCACAACTGATTGGCCAGTTATACCCCCATGGATCTTGCTATTGAGACAAGAATTGTATCGGCTGCGCTGTAGTTACAGACTAGGGCCACCTGTATAGCGCAACCCAAAGGCGTCCAATCACATTCCTCCTAGCATGGTTGTAAATGGCTTCAAGCTACCTATCAGCTCGATTGCTCTGTGTGCCAAAACCACGCGGATCGCTCGGATAACTAACAAATAAAGTGACCCCCGTCTATTTCAGTTTACCAAGGCATCGGCGATTTGGCGGTTGAAACCAAGTTTACTTAAACCTATATGTTTTGTGGTCAGTGTTTGTTTCCCTCTAACCAAAACGCGTGTGTGCCTAGTGACCTTTGACCATCGTAACTTTCGCCAATCAGCTGCACGTTAGATATCTTTGTATACAATTTATTCATTCCACAACTTGTATGAATGAGAATACTCGAAATGTGGTTTTTTCTTGTACCACAACTCTGTTGGTAAATAACAACCACCTACGGAAAGACCGTGCCTACCCTCACCATTGCTGGTGACGTCCTGGAGCAAGTCCTCTGCTTCACTTATCTAGGGAGTTGCATCACATCTGGCGAAGGACGTCGAAATAAGGTTTCACAACGGATCGCAAAGGCCCACCTTGCATTCATCAGACTGAGACACCTGTGGTGTCGTCGCGATATCAGTCTCAAGTTGAAGGGCAGGGTGTATATTGCCTCTGTCCGTGCACTCCTCTTGTACGGCTGTGAGACTTGGCCAACTCGCTCGGAAGCCATAAAAGTACTGTCAGTTTTTGACAATCGTTGTCTACGTAGAATTGCTCATGTGTGATGGCATCATCAACTAAGCAACACAGAAGTCCGAGCGGGAGTGCTTGGAGCAAACAGCCCATGCCCCCAAACCGTTACTCACAGACACCGCGTACGTTGATTCGGCCACGTATTGCACATGCCAGCCTTCCTAGTCGAGCGTTATTTGCGCTCCCCGGTAACGATTGCAAAAATGCTGCGGTGGACAACCTATGACAGGGGGAAGGAGCATGAAGACGGCGACCTCAAGCGTGACATCCGTCGGAACGGTCCACTGACTCGGACTGCCAGTGGTTAGAAACATTAGAGACTATGGCACGCAACATGCATCATTAGAAACAGCGCTATTCAATCGCATCCCTTGTTAATGTCAAATCAAACATAAAAACACAAGAAAACTTAAAATGACGTCTGTAAAACTCAAAAAATTGTTGTTGTATTGCGTTTCCAACATTTTTGCCATGGTTCTGATGGCACATTGTCTATGCTAATATTATATATATATATATATATATATATATATATATATATAGGGCTAAACCAACTTACACTCGAACTAGGTATTTTTAATCTGGATATGAGTCATTCCACTTTTGGTTTGTTTAATTCTGTTATTCTGCTGCTTGTTTTGTGTCAATTTTGCGGGTTTGCTTTCCATCCAATTATATGTTGGCTGTTTGATATCACCAGTGTGGCTGCGCTTGATGTGAATGTTGACAAGTTGCCTACCTGTCTAACACCCTCCATCTCGTTTGCGGGATCCAGGAGACTGAATCGTTTCTGGGGGGTTGGCCTTGCTTGGCTCAGAGTGGTTCCATGCAGTCCAAAACGGACTATGGCCCAGCTACTGCCTTTGTACGTCTGGTACGCATGCTTCCCTATCTAGCTAGACAGGAATGCTGCTGCTGTGCATATTTAAAGAGTGTGCGCAGGCTCTGTTGATGAAACGTGGCTCCCATCCAAATTCCACGTTCTTATTCCTTCTAATATACATTGGATATGGAGCTATGTGTGGTGCAGCGCAAGCCGCCCATTGTTCCTCTGTAAACGCACGCGTCCTGTTGTTGTTCTATGGAGGCAACGATTACTGGCAAGTCCGGAAACGGATACCGGCTTTAAATAATGCTACCGAATAAAACCCATGCGCGTGCTTTGGAGTCATGGGGCCGCTACACAGATCCCTCATGGAAGGTATTTTTGACGGCACTTCGATCTACCTTTGGTATACCCGTCACCGCTCAGCCTTATGTGAGACCAGCTGATCCTGGTGTTTCTGCTGTAAGAACACCAAAGCGGTCGGATCCGAGCGATTTCCCACGATGTCGAAACGGACAGCGAAAAGACCAATCAAGTGTTAACAACCGATAATGTGTACATGAAAAGCGAAGTGAGAAACGTGGCGTTAATACACTGCTATGCGTGAAAGGTTGTTTACAACAAAAGATAGCAGGCTGTTTTCGGTTTTCGAAAGATTTCGGTTTCTGGGCAGTTTCAAAACCTTTGGGTATTTTTCTTGCTTTTTAAAGTTATCTGTAAGAGCATGAAAAGGTTAGCTACAGAAAATAACAAACGTCAACAAAGTCCTAAAATCGAACTGGAGGTTTGACTTCCCTACCATATCGGTTGATAGTAGGTCCTATATGGTTGGGACCAGGTTCCGCACTACTTTCCGCTGGAGCGGAGTGGATGGTCTAAGGTGGTGGTAGTCGTGTTGGCGTAATTTGAGAAGTTGCTTGTTGTATTGGTGAGTCAGAATCGTTACGAAATGCTTGTTTTTAATATATCAGTATTGCTCATCCCATTGGTAATTATCTTGTCTGTTTTGCGTACGACACGGTACGGGCCAGAATAAGGTTAGCGTGACCAGCGTAACTGGCTGTACCCACGGACGCCGCGGATTTTTAAATACTGTGCTGGATTCTACGGTTGTTTCGGGAATACTGTGTTGTACGTGTTTTTCTGTGTAAATTTTGCACTAATGTTCTTATTTTGGTGTATTTTTTGATCTGTTCAGATTTTATGGATATTCTCTGGCTAGTTTCATGGTGCTCATTGATTGGTACACCTGCCGTCTGTGTCCGCCATCTTGAATTTGTTCTGCAGCAATCCAATCTAAAGCAGGATGAGCCACTGGTTTGACCTTGACCTGACGGTCGGCGACCAAACGTTGGCCGACGACGACGCAACATTTAACCGCAAAACAAGCAGCGGCCATTCGACCATGACGGCCACAACACTGATAACCTGAAACGAAGTATCTTATGCTTAGTAAAAGTAGGGTCCACCTGTACAAATTGCATTGGCCGATATCCTTCGAAGTGCGTCAAGTTCTGTAGAGCCTACATAAAGAAATATAACACGCCGATTTCACTTTGGTTCTTTCCTCAGTGTACGACGGTTCCACTAGTGAAATACGTACTAGCGTTAATACAAAAGTACGAAAGCCTACTCGCCGAAACTGAAACCGTTTGAATGCAAAAATTGCTTCGCTTGTGGCGACAATAGCACATCTTACACCTCGTCCGTCTCCCCCGGTTGCTACCTTGAAAGCAAGCGAAAAAGCCAGGCGCTCACGCGGCCACGCAGTACTAGCAACCATGGGAACCACGAGCCAATCGTCGTTGCGATTGACGGAAGCATGTCTAGTCCCCTCGCCCACATCCTGTTATCCAATATATCAATGCTACATCGGTAACACTCACCCTTTCGATTGGCCAGCGAAATCCGAAACGCTTTGAAGATCCACCTATGCAACCGTTACCGCTCGATTTAATCAAAATGCGACCTCAGTAGCCTCTTCTTGTATAACTTCAAAACGCGTCAAGGACGAGGTGGAACCTGCAGAAGTCTCACCAAAGCTCTCGAGAACGGTGCTTTCCACTTTACCGAAGACCAGGAGAAACTACGGTGTCTTGACACTTTTATGCACCAATGTTTCTGAGTTCCAGTCAAATTTTCTGAGTGGTAAACAGCTGGATGATTTAAAATAATGGAATTTCCTTTATGGTAGAATCGGAATTCAAGCCAGCCCGGCTAATTTAATGCTCACCACTAGACATCCAACCTCGATTCCTTAAGAGGAGTCCCGGATAATACGAGTAACATCGAAATCACCAAATGATGTCGAGACGTTGTTTTTGTCCACATACCGCATGCAGGCTGAAAACCTTGGTGATACACATATTTTCAGATGTTCCATGGAGTGAACGCCAGCTGGACAAAACTAATTCCAATTACCACCACACGAAGAGTAGCAAAAGAATTATTTTCGTTCATAGCGTACTAGAGCTACCTTCATTTCTCGACGAAGAAACCCATGCTCATGACTTGGAATAATGGCATTACATCCGCGAAGCTCTCCGTGCGGACGACGTCATACTTCACTCGATTACACGGTTACCTGTGTCGCCAAACTACGGAGGCAATAGCCCGAGGATACTGTAACTAACGATTCAGTCACAACAGATGGGGGGTGAACTTAATCCGTAGCTGGCATATACTACGCAAAGAAATTCCTTCGGAACTACGACCGAAGACAGCAGCTAGAGAGCCGCAGCCACTCGCTGTTCTCGCGTAAATGACACCACCCGCGACTCAGTATAACCACTACAGCGATTCAGAAATATTTGCGCGAAAAGCCGTAGCTATCTAGAAAGTTACCAATGGACTACATACAATAGGTGCAAGTGAGACCAAAAACATACTGCATTCATATCGGGATTTAGCAGTTCACCCAAAAACGATTAGGTGCCGCCCTCTCATCGGTCGGCTCAAATCCAGATCATTCATGTGCTCCTAGTCAACAGCTTTTGACAACCGATAAGCTTTCCTGTGTGTACACCAACGCTCAAGGCGTACTGAGTAAACTTTCCTAAATGCAAATTCGTCAAGGATCAAACGCCTACGACCGCATCGCTATAACGGAGACTTGGTTATGCCCTGATATAATTGACATGGAGATCGCAATGCCAGACATGTCCACTGTTCGGCACGACCGACCCAGCAAAGGTGGAGGGGTGGCTCTGTACTTCGGCAACAATCTCCAATGTGAGCTCATAAAGGATCCGGTCAGCACCGTACAAGACACCCTTTGGTACCGTCTACGTTTAAAAGGCGACGACAATTGCTTAGTAGCGGTCATTCACCGTCCTCCTTCCTTCACTCCAGAGATGGACTCCCATCTGACATCCGCACTAAGACGGGTGATAAACACAACTCACAGTCACATTCTCATTACTGGCGATTTCAACATTCACGCTCTGGAATCCCAAGCAGCTCCCTGAGAACAGTTTAAGGCCGATCTACAATAGTATGTCTCCAGTTTATTGTTATATGGTCACATCAGTACTCGCACCCAATTCCGAGAAAAGGATAAGTCGTCAATACGGAATCGGATATTCACCAACAATGAACTACTGGTCGAATGGGTGATCGTCGAGGTTCCCTTGGGCTGCTGCGATCATGTGCTCCTGTTTCGATTACCTTTGGTATGCAGTATATCCTGTGGAAATTGCCGACGCAACGGAAACGATTATACGCTGCGACAAATTAGCGCGACTAGGTGAGACATCCAATTGGACCTTTCTGGCAGATGACACACCTGGTTGTGCATGGGAGCATTTCGTCAGCCAATTTAACGATCTGGTTGCCGAAGCATCAGCGACTAAGGTCTTTCGCCCGAGAAACGTGGTCTCGTTCCTGCGAAGCAGGACACAAGTGCATAGCGGTATAAAACTTAATTTGGCATCTACAACTCTCTCCGAGCATGGAGAGCTGGATGGCCTATGCGACCCAACGTAACTGTACTCAGTTTGCTCGCGAGCATAGAATGAGGTGCCAGCGGACGTTGGCAGTGCGTATGGGCTCCAATCATAAGATTCTGTATCAACACTTCTACAGTCTACGTAAGGTAAAACGGGGAATTTCTCTTCAAACAGCGGACGGACACCGAAAGAGGCGGCGAATACCCTGCGGCTACAATATGCTGCAACATTTCATCGTGAACACTGGCCACCTAACCCTATGACAATGGTTGTTTTCCCCCCAATTCTCACTCACATACCATTCACAGCAGAAGCTGTACTAAAAAGCTGTTGTTTATGCGTAAGCACAGCTCTCCTGGGGTTGATAATGTACACACGGAATCGCTAGCGGCTGTAGGAGAGAGCTTAGCTGTGCCTTTGGCTTGATTGTTCCAAACCTGTTTTAATGAAATGTACGTACCTGACATGTGGAAACTCGTGATAATTACTCCTGTTCACAAGGGAGTTAGTCGTTCCAATCCAACCAACAACTGTCCCATAATCTTACTACCGGTTCTTACAAAGAGTCATGGAAGCCATTTTTCTGATGCGTTAACGGCCTTCTTGGAAGAATTTAACTACCTCGCGCTAGAATAGCATGGCTTCCGACGAAATCTATCGTACACTACAAATCTATTGCTAGCACGATCCAGCTAGACTGAAACAATAGACTAGCACAGGAATTGATGTGGTCTTTCTCGATTTCTCTAAGGTGTTCGACGGGTTAGACCATAGCATTCTGCTCTTCAAACTCCAAACCTTTGATATTGGCGATCCTCTCCTAGGATGGATCAGAAGCTTTATTCTACACCGGCGCTTGATCGTACGAGTGCGGGTATCCCTATCAGATCCCGTCCGAGTAGAATGCGGAGGGATCGGTACTTGGACCGCGGTTTTGTCGTTTATTAACGATGTCACACGGCTCATAAGTTTGAACTGCCTACTTTATGCCGACAACATCAAGGTGTGGAGGGCGATCAATAAAGCAGCTGATATCATTGTACTACAAGCCGATCTGCATAGGGTATACGCGTGATCAATCCAGCATCTACTTCGATTCATTGTGAACAATTGTAGAGTGTTGCACTTACGACACAACTTGGTGAGCTCCTACAAGTTTGACAACCAGCGCCTTCAAACGTCTTCTGGCGAGAAACATTTAAGAGGTTTGGTCCAGGTCGACCTTTGATGTTCGTCTCGGGCTGAAATGGCGTCAAAAAGAGGCGTCGGACACATTGGCCACCTGAAGCATGCATTGGGATGATCCGACCCCGATTTTCACAGTTCCTGGGCTCATACCTACGGCTACATGTGGAATACGCAATACAGGTCTGGCAGCCATGGCTGAAGATAAATCTCACCACATTGGCGATACCCCAACGTTTGGAATCCAAGAATATCAAGGACCCATAATTTACCGTATGAATGATAGCTTCATAAGCTGGAAGTCTTCAGCGGACAGTATCGGCGATTGCTCAGGGATCCCATTTTGACTTACCAGGATTCGCGTGATCCCAACCACACGTGCCGCTACTTGCTAGAGCTTAGTCACAATAGTAATTTGAGCCTCCATTATGTCAACCTGACAGAGCAACACAGTCGTTTGGAATGCCGTCGGAATTTCTTTTCCGCACGCGTTTGCATAACGTGGAATGCCCTACCGGAATCTGTCATATGTGCTCCCACGCTGACAAACTTCAATGCCCAAGTTGATCGTGCACTTATTTCGCTTCATTGCACCTAATTCATTACCAGTAGCTAAACACAGGTGTCTATAAACGATTTCACTGGTGACCAAATCCCAGATTTCGTTCTACTTTTTCACCTCCTCTATGTGTACACCAAGGAGACACGATTTTTATCAACATCCCATTTGCCGTTATTCCTTATGGATTCACCTTGGGTTTACAGCTTTTATTGCGTATACTTCACTGAGTTCACCAGTCTAGACCCAATTTTGTTGTATTTGAAGCTTAGTCATTGTGAGAGGATTGCCCAAGCAAGCGGCTAGGGTGTCGCATGCTGACAGAACAGTTGATTGGACGCCTGCGCATATTTCGCCTACGCGTTGATTGATTCGCTGAAACTGGTTTTTCTTACCTGATTCAATGGAAGAATCTCGTGAATCAAGCAACGTCCTTAGTT